GTCTGTTGTCTGAATCTAGGAGTCTGTTTCTATCTTGTAAAAACTCCTTTTTTGTTCTAGGTCAGTGGCCGGCAAACTGCGGCTCGTGAGCCGCATGTGGCTCTTTGGCCCCTTGAGTGTGGATCTTCCACAAAATATCGCGTGCAGGCGCGCATGTACAGTGCGATTGGAACTTCGTGGCCCATGCGCAAGTCGGTATTTTGTGGAAGAGCCACACTCAAGGGGCCAAAGAGCTGCATGTGGCTCGCGAGCTGCAGTTTGCCAACCACTGTTCTAGGTTACCACTGCCTTATTTCCTCTTGTTTGGAAGTAATTCCCATCTCGTCCCGCCTCCCCTCCCCACCCCAACCCTTTCCAAATCTACTTTTTTTTAACTTATTTCCCACCTATGCTTGCCTATTACCATATCAACTAGAGGGGACAGTTCAAGTACAAAAGGGGTAAAGGAGAACCAGACACTGACCCATGTTCTCAAAAACCCTAACCACTCTTTGGACTATGGTAGTATACCCTTTAGTGCCATGGTTCTCAAACTTTTGTTTGACTAAGATTTTGCTGGAATGATGTTTAACATGCCAGTTCCTAGACCCTACTATCATAGGTTTTATTTCAATAGAAACTCTGAAATTTTAACAAGCACTCCAGTTATCTGGAATGCATATTTTCTGTGGATCATGTTGACAATGCATTAGAGTGATAATATCCAACCCAAATGAGAACAAACACTACCCCCACACCCTCCAGATAAAAGACCTGGGATCTCAAATCAAGCCAAAAGTCAGAATTCATAAACAGTAAAACTAGAAAGGACCTCAGAGGAAAATAGGTCCTAAAAGCTTGCACTTCGTCACAGGGGAGAAGAGGAAGAGAGGGGCCTATAACTGCAACCAAACATAACGCCTCTTAGAGCCACCTGTCTGTTTAAAAAGAGATAAATCTAGCAGCAAGCCTGGAGAAACAGCAGCAAGAATGACATCCCTCTAGGACAGTGGTTCTCATCCTTCCTAATGCCGTGACCCTTTAATAGAGTTCCTCATGTTGTGGTGCCCCCCAACCATAAAATTATTTTCGTTGCTACTTCATAACTGTAATTTTGCTACTGTTAGGAATCATATTGTAAATATCTGATATGCCGGATGTATTTTCATTGTTACAAATTGAACATAATTAAAGCATAGTGATTAATCACAAATACAATAGTAATTATATATTTGTTTTCCGATGGTCTTAGGCAACCCCTGTGAAAGGGGCATTCGACCCCCAAAGGGTCGCGACCCACAGGTTGAGAACCACTGCTCTAGCTGGTCCATCAAAACTTATACTACAGGAGAGTTTATTAAGAAATAAACAGTTAGATTCTGTGATAACTGATGAAATGATATGGGCTCTGGCATCAAACTTCCTGATTTTGAATTATGACTTCAAAGTAGGGTGGAATTACATACAACTTCAAAGTATAAACTTGGGAAATTTTCTTAAACTCATTGTGCCAACAGGACATACTAACAGGCAGGATAATACAATGATTAAGAGTATGAACTCTAGAGCCAGATTTCAAGGTTCAAATCGTGGTTCTGCCACTTCCTAAGTCACTTTTTAACAAACTCTTTGTGCCTTAGTTTCTCACCTGGACAACAAGGATGATAATGCCCATCTCAAAGGATTGGTGTAAGAATTAAATATTTTACTACATATAACTAAATGCCTAGAAATAAATGACATTCACAATAAATAATAGCTATTATCTTCATTGTCCATTATCATCATTTCCCTGGTTCTCTTCATTCTAATCCTCTAATTAATAAATCGGGAAGCAGAAATAGTAAGGACAGCTTGCAGGGAGACAGCAGTGCTTCTGGAAATACTTTAAATAAGTCATAAATACAAATAAAAACAGAACTCAAACACATAGGGTTTGTAGGAAGACCACTCATAAACCCAGGGAAGTATGATTTTACTACCACTTCTGCCACTAAATGTTCTCCCTTAAATTATTTTATTTCCTTGGACCTAAATAGTAAAGAAGCTAGACTACATGTTCATTTTTTCAAAAATTCCTCCAAAATGCTCCATCTCTAAATTACACAAGCTTTACATAGTATATACAAAATACAGAAAATTTTAAAATAAAAGTTGTTCCTACCTGCTGTACTTCGGGTTGAATTTTCATTTAGGTTTCTCTTCATTTCTGTCAATATCCAAGTCAATACCTTTGTCTTTAGCACATGAAGTTATTGGACTAAACCTTCAAAGGAAGAGACTTATAACTTATACCGTGTCAACAACAAAATCAAATTCTTAGCCTAGTAATTACTGAAATCAACGTTTAAAAACTTTGGTTTCAAACCTGATCCTGTTAACGCTTTGTGGAGTCTTTCATCTCTGACTCAGAATGAACGACGGGAACCGTTTTCTCGGCTCTCTTCCAAATCAGCGAGGACCAGGGTGACTATAACCTCGCCTCCAAGGTGAGGCCACGTCACACAAGCCTCTGTAAGGAACTCTAGAACTCATGACGCACAGAGAGGATAATTCCGAACCAGGTCTGACAGAGCAGAACGGGCCACGGCACTGGCCAGCTCTGTCCCCGGAAGGCCGGGAGCAGCACCGGCCACGGCACTGGAAGGGCGGGAAGGGACAGGACTCTGCACAGCACACCATGGGGTCCCCTCCCCGTCCTGAGCCCGAGGCCTCTGGGCTACGTAACCACAAAGACTGCGGCCTCACTTAATACCCAGAATAACCGAGAAGATGTTTCCACTCATCATTTCCAGAATTTCAACAAGACAAACACATTTCTCTGCTTGCTTTCTTTTACAACAGAATTTCCGCTATAATATTTTTCCATATGTAGCCTCCCTAATACATTTCAACCCCAACCGAATTCAACAAACACTTCGCTATCATGTGAAAAAGCAAGATGCCAACTTTCATGACCCAGTGAGGCAGACAGACAGGAACGCAACTACGTCATGGCGAATCGTTCTGAGGCAAATGTTAATTTCCAAACACAGCCGAAAACGGTTGGGCTCAGTAGATAGAGCGTCCCTCCGCTTTGTTTCCTAACCCAGGTTCGATTCCGGTTGCGGGCACATCCCCAGTGGGAGCTATGTAGGAGGCAGCTGATCGATGTCTCTCTCTCTCTCCCTTCCTCTCTGTAAAAAATCAATAAAATATATTTTTTTAAAAAATTCCAAACACAGACATGAAACCGGGGAACCAAAAGGGCGGGGACTGCCTCCGCTTTGTTTCCTAACTTGGACGTGAAGCCGGATCCCAGAAACGTATTCCTGATGCCAATCTAGGAACCCAATCGGCGGTTATGAGGCTTTTCCTCAGCCCAGAAATACCAACGCCACGCACACCCGAACCCGCAGGGTGGTGGGACAAGGGCTATGACGGTTCCGAGTTTCACGCAAACAGAATAAACCTGCAACATCCGCCCCCAGGACCACTGACCCTGGGCCAGGGCCCCAGCTTCCAACCAGCATTAATGTGGCCGGCGAAGAGGACAAGCAGAAAGTTTGCTCACTCTACAAACCCGAGCGCGCACCCACACACACACCGCACCCCCAAAGCCCACTGCCTCAGGGCGAGGCCAGGAGGCCTAGTTTGACCCCTCATAGGAGAGGCGTTCCAGTCAGGGCTCATGCTCTCTTCCAACATCCCCTCCTCACGCAGGAAATGGGGTAGTTTGGTAACTAGCGACAATACGGTCTTTCCCTTCTTGGCTCTCCAACCCGCACCAAACGCAACTTTTACCCGCAGGTTTCGCCGCCTCAGCCCACGGTCGCCTCAGTCAACGGTCGGCGCGGAGACTGCCCAGTCCACGACCCCGGACCTCCTAAAATGCGCGGGAAGTCGAGCCGTGCGCAGGCGCAGGCGCAGGCGTGCAGGAACCTGCGCAGGCGCACCTCAGACCCCCCGCTGCCAAGCCTGCCTCAAGTCTGCGCAG